GAAAGAAAGGACGTGAAGGAGACGGTTGGCGGGGGGGGAGGGGGGGTGACCCCCTTCGTAACCCCGCCCACTTGCGACCTCACGGGATGTGATTGGCCGGCGAACAAAGGTTTTATTGAGCGGCTTCAGAGCAGGTTATGTTTCCATCGCCATGGTGATGGTTAAGTTACTGCAGTGATTCTCTGTAGTAACTTAGTAAAGAGTGAAACTCTTCACTATTGTCTTACTAAAACACCTTGGTGTCCAACATCAGGCTCCACCTCCTCCAGCGTCACCTCCTCCGCAGGTCTTTACCTTGTTATAACTGAAAATAATTTCTGCACATTATAATCTGAATTATTAGAACACTCATTACTGCAGGATTATTTCTGTAGTTCCCAAATCTTCCTGCAGGGAAATATCATTACGTTCTGTCTACTTATGCGTTGATTTAATAAACAGTGGACGGACGTTTCACTCCAATATATTTCTGTTTCTCACAAAAACACTGCCACTTTAAGGAATGGTCATGTGACCTGAGGAGAAGGCGGAGCCTGAAGAGGCGCTCGTTAACGCAGGTCTAACGCCACAGTTCTGTTGACGTGCTGAATATTCTGTCTTAAATGTGAAAGGTCAGCTGACCTCACGGCGCTGTTTCAATAACGTATATTGATTGTCATCAGTGTTCGATCACATTGATCATGTGACTCACCCTGCTGTCTCACCCTGCTGCCTCTAACACCCCTGTGTCTCTCTCTCTTTACCTGTCTGTCCATATCTTGTAGGCTTTGTGCAGAGTAGTCGTCTAGTCTAGCGCAGTAATCGCCCAGTGAGGACGCCTGGCCACAGGAAGTGATGTAAAGGAAACAGCTCAGAGGAAGTGCGGTAACAGCTTTTTTTTCATTGGACAGTTGAACCACTCAAATGACCTGGTCCAGTCAGCTGACGGACCAATGTCAAAATTTGTAACAGGATTAAAAAAGAAAAAAGTTTGTGTCCGGTTCCGAAGTGAACCAGAGTTTTGAGTCTGATCAAATCGATAACCTCCGAAACCAGTCGTCTTTGTTATCAGTCAGAATGTGTTTATCGCTCTTTCTCTGGATCTGTTGTTCGGCCTCAATTCTAGAAAAGTTCTGGAATCTGTAATTTATGCATTTTCACTGAAAAATTTATAAACCCTGAAATGAATACATCCCAAAAAAGCTGGGCCATTGATACAGACCAGAATTCAAAGGTCAAGTCAAAGGTCACTTGGTGAATTCTGTTCAGACATTTTTTTTTCTTCTTTTATTTCAGCTTTTCTAGAAATGAGGCTGTTGTTTAACTTCATGTGTGTTTTCAAAAGTTTGCTAAAATGCTAAACTGACCAGTTTATTAATTACTATTATTATTGTTAACAGGGTAAAAATATAGAAAGTGATTAAAAAAAAGTTCAGTAGAGGAAACTCTCAAGTCCAAAATGACCCTAAAGATTTTTTTTTTAACAATACAGAACTCACGGGGACTTAATGTTCAGCTTCTACTGAAACGCTGCTCTAATTTATGCATTTTCACTGAAAAATTTATAAACCCTGAAATGAATACATCCCAAAAAAGCTGGGCCATTGATACAGACCAGAATTCAAAGGTCAAGTCAAAGGTCACTTGGTGAATTCTGTTCAGACATTTTTTTTTCTTCTTTTATTTCAGCTTTTCTAGAAATGAGGCTGTTGTTTAACTTCATGTGTGTTTTCAAAAGTTTGCTAAAATGCTAAACTGACCAGTTTATTAATTACTATTATTATTGTTAACAGGGTAAAAATATAGAAAGTGATTAAAAAAAAGTTCAGTAGAGGAAACTCTCAAGTCCAAAATGACCCTAAAGATTTTTTTTTTAACAATACAGAACTCACGGGGACTTAATGTTCAGCTTCTACTGAAACGCTGCTCATTCACCTGCTGCTGAATTGCATTCTGGGTCGTGCTTTGCTTTGACTGCATTGCGTGTGACATAAGCTCCCCAGTATTCCCGTACAGGTGCTAGCCAGTCAAAGTATGTTTACACTTCAGAGGTCGGACAAAAAGAGTCTAAAACACTTCTTCTTTTAGCGGCAACGTTAGCATTTGTTCTGCAGCGACGTTAGCCGCAGGCTTGGTTTTTAAATGCTAGTGTCATGATCTTCGACTCGAAGTAGTAGAGAAACACGACATGTAAAAATTTGAAATAAATGACAAAGTTGAAAAACAAAACAAAAAAAAAAAAATCTGATAAAAGTTTTTACATTTTGACGCCAGAATTTGTCTTTTTGTGCTTGAACCATTTTTACTGAATCGGTTTGTTTCTCCGATCAACTGGCAAACTGATCGGAGATCAGTTCACTCGAGTCAAAATATTATGTGGGAAAAATGTTTTTAAACAAAGGGATAATTCTCCTGATTGCAAAAAAAAAAAAAAACTTTAGCGACTGGTGTCATCATTAACTAGATGCACTATTTCATGACAGGTGTCAGACTGAAGGTGTGTAAATATGAGCTGTAGCTGCACAGGTGGATTCTAACCCTGCCTCTGACAATGACCTAGCCTGTATTAGTGCCATCGCTGCTTCTCGCGCTATGATTATGTTGACTGATTGTGTGAAATGTGACACTTTCTTTTATTTTAGAGTTAGCCATTGTTTTTTTGTTTTTTTAATCGAGACGTGGAACAGTTTAACCTGCTCTTTTCAACTACCTGTATGTTCAACCTTCAGATTAAAGTTCTGGAACTGACGCCTGTGTCGGGTCTTCATTTCAGTGAATCTAGTCAGTATGTGTGTGTACTGTACTGTACTGTACTGTACTGTACTGTACTGTACTGTACTGTACTGTACTGTACTGTACTGTACTGTACTGTACTGTACTGTACTGTACTGTACTGTACTGTACTGTACTGTACTGTACTGTACTGTACTGTATTGTGGGGTTCATGTTGGCGCAGAGCGGTTGGAACAAATCCCAGAAGTCGTCGTCTCAGCCACGTATAGAGACAACATTCACACTAACATTTATACTAACATTCACACCTATTCCTGGGAACATGCACGCTCAGCGCTCAATATGCTAACTGTACAAACACAGAAGCTTTTGTTTGTCCACGGCGTTCATTATATATCTAATTCGATATGTTTTAGGAATGCATACGTAAAAGATGCAGTACCACTGGAAATAGCGGGGGCAGTGTTTTGATGTCTATGATCACCTAGCAACGTTGTTTTGACACAGCTTTTTAAAAAACATTTGGGATGATATGCAAGGCTAATTTCTTTGAAAATCGAAAAATTTGAAATTTGAAAATACACTTCCACGCCAACGTGAAGCAAAGGTGTACCGAAGAAGCGGAGCATAAGAGGCTACTGCACAAGGATTGTCAGTTACCACAGGGGATCGTACTGATGATCTCCTTGCTGTAAGGCAAGAGCACATACCGCTCCTATACCATGCAGCCACCCACATGATTATTATCATTGTTTTCTTTTTTGTGTTTCAAATACTCTACAGTGACAGTAAAGCGGCGCAGGGTCCAAACCAAAGGCTGGGGATTTGATACCAGCATCTGCTGTCCTGCTGCCACGGTGCCCCTGGGCAACACATTCTCATCACACCCAGCCACAGGGGTACTTTCTGTAATCTGTGTCCTCCCACCGCCAGCTCCATCCACGCCTGGAT